CTACAATCTCTCTGACTCCTATGCAGAGGAGCACACAGAAGACAGCGGAGCGGACAGCGCGGCATACAGTGGACAGCGAAGCATACAGTGGACAGCGAAGCATGCAGTAGACGGTGGGGCAGTGGACAACGAAGGACGCAGTGGACAACGGAGCACATAGTGGGGAGCGGAGTATAGTGGACAGCAGGGGCACACAGTGGGCAGTGGGGCACACAGTGGGCAGCGGGGCACACAGTGGGCAATGAAGTCCACAGTGGGAAGCGGGGCACGCAGTGGACAGCAGGGCACGCAGTGGACAGCGGGGGCACACAGTGGGCAACGGGGCACAACGGTGTAAGCCCTCAAGGGGTCATTACCAAAGAATGTCGGTGATCTGCTATTACGCCAATTTGCACCGCTGCACTTTCTCACTGCTCCCCCCCCTCCCTTCCCCTCCTCTCTCTCCTTCCCCCCTTCTATCCCTGTCCCACCCCATCCCCTTTCCCTAGTCCCCTCCCTATCCTCCTCTCTTATCCCCTGCCCATCACTTCCTTACCCCCCTCCTGTCCCACCCCATCCCCAGTCATTCCCCTTCCCTCTCCCTATATCTACCCTTTACTTTTTTTAACCCCTCCATCCCCTCTACCCCTTAGGAAAGTTGATTGGTTAATTAGGTTTAAAGCCTCTCGACTACACGAGGGTCATTAAGGCTGCTTGTAACCTGTACACCACCAGTCAAGAATAATTTAATTCCTAACATTGATTAGTATATCCTCACCTCTCAGTGTATACAGACTCAGACATATACCTCTCGGTGTATATACACTGAGAAACATACACCTCTCGGTGTATATACACTAAGAAACATACACCTTTGGGTGTATATACACTGAGAAACATACACCTCTCGGCGTATATACGAAGTAGTATATACACTAAAACATACTGTACATCTCTTGGATGTATATACACTGAGAAACATACACTTCTCGATGTCTATAGAATCATACATATCTCGGAGTATATACAATAATACATGCATCTCTTGGGTGTATTTACACTGAGAGACACACTAGTCAGTGTAGCACACAACTTGGCGATGCTTCCAGGGAATCAACGCTCCCTACAGTCCGCTTGCTCTCACACCAGCAGGCCTTCTGATTGACGACCTGGTCAGTCAGACTGCTGCTGCTTGCGGCATGCAGTCCCATACAGACCCCCCCCCCCCAAGTCAGGCAGTTCAAAACAGTATGTGTGACTTTATCAAGTTCTTTACTGAGGTGATGAGAAACAGTGGTCAGGAAGCAGTGCAAGTATCTCCTCACACAGGTCTGTCAACTGACACAGTTGATGAGAAACAGTGGTGAAGAAGCAGTACAAGTGTCTCCGGAAAACTGGAATGTTTCTCATCAGCTGACAGACCTGTGTCAGGAGAGGCATGTACTGCTTCTTCACCACTGTTTCTCATCAACTGACACAGTTGATGAGAAACAGTGGTGAAGAAGCAGTACATATGTCTCCCGACACAGGTCTGTCAGTTGACGAGAAACATCCCAGTTTTCCACAAAATTAAGAAATCTGTTACAAACCTCAACTTGGAGTATAAGTCACTAAATTTATAGATCTGAATGAACGTTTCTCATGTTTTTCTACACAATATAATATTTCACAGTTCGTTTATTGACATGTGAAAAGTGCGATAAAATGTATATATTTTTTTAAACTTTCAACTCGAAAATGATGTGTTTACCTATTACCTCGTGAAGCTTCCGCTGGCCTACCCCAGCCAGGGTTTATACCTACCCCAGCCAGGGTTTATACCTACCCCAGCCAGGGTTTATACCTACCCCAGCCAGGGTTTATACCTACCCCAGCCAGGGTTTATACCTACCCCAGCCAGGGTTTATACCTACCCCAGCCAGGGTTTATACCTACCCGCCAGGGTTTATACCTACCCAGCCAGGGTTTATACCTACCCCAGCCAGGGTTTATACCTACCCCAGCCAGGGTTTATACCTACCCCAGCCAGGGTTTATACCTACCCCAGCCAGGGTTTATACCTACCCAGCAGGGTTTATACCTACCCCAGCAGGTTTATACCTACCCCAGCCAGGGTTTATACCTACCCCAGCCAGGGTTTATACCTACCCCAGCCAGGGTTTATACCTACCCCAGCCAGGGTTTATACCTACCCCAGCCAGGGTTTATACCTACCCCAGCCAGGGTTTATACCTACCCCAGCCAGGTTTATACCTACCCAGCCAGGGTTTATACCTACCCAGCCAGGTTTATACCTACCCCAGCCAGGGTTTATACCTACCCCAGCCAGGGTTTATACCTACCCCAGCCAGGGTTTATACCTACCCCAGCCAGGGTTTATACCTACCCCAGCCAGGGTTATACCTACCCCAGCCAGGGTTTATACCTACCCAGCCAGGTTTATACCTACCCCAGCCAGGGTTTATACCTACCCTAGCCAGGTTTCATACCTACCCCAGCCAGGGTTTATACCTACCCCAGCCAGGGTTTATACCTACCCCAGCCAGGGTTTATACCTACCCCAGCCAGGATTTATACCTACCCTAGCCAGGTTTCATACCTACCCCAGCCAGGGTTTATACCTACCCTAGCCAGGTTTCATACCTACTCCAGCCAGGGTTTATACCTACCCGTCAGGTCTCGTGCTTACCCCAGCCAGGGTTTATACCTACAGGAGCCAGGTTTCATTCCTACCCCAGCCAGGGTTTATACCTACCCTAGCCAGGTCTCATACTTACCCCAGCCAGGTCTCATAGCTACCCCAGCCAGGGTTTATACCTACCCAAGCCAGGTCTCATACCTACCCCAGCCAGGGATTATACCTACCCTAGCTAGGTCTCATACCTACCCCAGCCAGGGTTTATACCTATCCTAGCCAGGTTTCATACCTACCCCAGCCATGTTTCCTACCTACCCCAGCCAGGTCTCATACCTACCCCAGCCAGGTTTCCTACCTAGCCTAGCCAGGTTTCATACCTACCCCAGCCAGGTCTCATACCTACCCCAGCCAGGTTTCATACCTACCCCAGCCAGGTCTCATACCTACCCCAGCCAGGTCTCATACCTACCCCAGCCAGGTTCATACCTACCCCAGCCAGGTCTCATACCTACCCCAGCCAGGTTTCATACCTACCCAGCCAGGTCTCATACCTAGCCCAGCCAGGTTTCATACCTACCCCAGCCAGGTCTCATACCTACCCCAGCCAGGTTTCATACCTACCCCAGCCAGGTTTCATACCTACCCCAGCCAGGTTTCATACCTACCCCAGCCAGGTTTCATACCTACCCCAGCCAGGTCTCATACCTACCCCAGCCAGGTCTCATACCTACCCCAGCCAGGTTTCATACCTACCCCAGCCAGGTTTCATACCTACCCCAGCCAGGTCTCATACCTACCCCAGCCAGGTCTCATACCTACCCCAGCCAGGTTTCATACCTACCTCAGCCAGGTCTCATACCTACCCCAGCCAGGTTTCATACCTACCCCAGCCAGGTCTCATACCTACCCCAGCCAGGTTTCATACCTACCCCAACCAGGTTTCATACCTACCCCAGCCAGGTCTCATACCTACCCCAGCCAGGTTTCATACCTACCCCAGCCAGGTTTCATACCTACCCCAGCCAGGTGTCATACCTACCCCAGCCAGGTTTCATACCTACCCCAGCCAGGTTTCATACCTACCCCAGCCAGGTGTCATACCGCACTTCAACGCCAGAGGATCACTACCTAATAGTCTGCTAAGGAGGTGGTGAAACCTTCATGAAGAAACTAAGTGAGTGTTAGGAAATTATTATTATGAGGAGCGCTAAACCCGTAGGGATTATACAGCGCCTGTGGGGAGGGGATGGATGGTGGAAGGTATTCAGGCTTAATTCAAGGAGCTGAAGCACAGATCCAATTTCCTAGATCAAGAGCCCTTCACCAGCATCAATGAACCTCCCTTGAGGGAAGAGCGTTAGGTAAGAAATGTTTACAGGTGAAGAGCGAGTGTAACAAAGCCGGGGACCATAATAGTCTCCTCGAAGCGCCCCTTTAGTTAGTACGTAGTATCATTATATTCATGGGTAAGCGTTAAACTTGTAGGGGGTCATACAACGCCAAGGAAATAAAAGATAAACAGGTTTAATCCGAGAAACGGGAGAGCTTTAATTCCTCGAATCAAAAGCCCAGTAGCCTCTACCAAATCACCCCTTCTTGAAGGGGTGATTTGTACTGCAGCTTCTCACTAGAGTATCTTGCACCACTTACCGTGTCTCCCATTCATCTAAAGAGGTACTTTAGTGAGCTCATTTGAAACCAATAATCTTGCTTTGAAAAGAGAGTCAGTAAACGAGAATAATTTAGATTTGAAAAGATACGATCACTGAAATAGCTCTATATTCTCTAAGTATGCATTATAAGTCTTAAAGGCTGTTAATATTCGGAAATATCGCAGTGTAGACAGCATAAAACACTTAAGATTATCATCACTGCTAAAATTTTTCTTGTTATGGAGTCTGTGTGTCAGTCGAAATAGGGTGAGTTAACAGCTTTTAGTTTGCAAAATATGAATTGTTTAAAAAAATAATTGTGGCTAACACCAAGGGTGTGTCACCGTTATGTAATAGAGTGCAAAAGTTATTTAGTTTACGTTCTAGTGATTTTTCACAAGTACACACACTACACATTTTCGCCGCCTACAACACACGTACAAACAGGAACGCACTGGATGGGGTAAGAACGTCTGGAAACAAACGTATTGGGGTAAGAGGCGAGGAAAATGGACATGTATGCATTCCATCTAGGACACCTTTACTGAAAACGCTTTAGTCCATGGACCTTGATCACTACAAAATGTATTTGAGTGGTCAAGGTCCAAGGACGGACAAAAACGTCTTCAGTAGATATCCTAAAGGAATGTATTCGTGTCCATTTCTCGAGTTACGGGACGATCAGTTGTCTTCTTACAGCACGAGGTGATAACAAGAGCAGAATGACTTACGCTGGGTGAGGTCTTCCACGACTTGGGCGCATATTTACTGAGTTTGCTCTCGGGGTCCGCGAACACATTTTCTCCGTCTGCAAGAAAAAACACAAACTACTGTCAGTCAATCACGATTCCCACTATTTACCTACATCATGATACCACATTATAAATGAGATATAGTAATACCAACTTAAAAAAACTTGATGCACTTCATATAATAACTCACAAAAGTAGACACAGCGAAGTGTTTTGTCATATTCTGTAAGGTTTACATTGAGGTGTCTCTAAAAGGTTGGATGTTCGGACACTCTAGTCTAGGAGGTAATGCTCCAGTGTATGGCCCTGTCTCTCCCCACTCACTTTGTTATGTCACTGACATCTCCATACAAACCGTACTGCCAGAGATACAGCCTAGTTAGCCTTAGTTTAGCAGTAACAACATCTTGTAATCTACTGACCTTTGTTACTTTCTCCATAGATATATTTAAATTGACACATTTCATTATAATGGATAATGGATATAGTTTTCATAGCAACTTACAAAACCAGATACTGTTATGATTAAACATAGGAGGTGCTACCAAAAAGTTCCTAGAATGCCGTGAAAAAATACACAGGCTTACCTAATCACCTATATAAAGTTGTCTCTCTCGAAGTACTCTCCTGGGGAGGCTATATACTGATTCGAGCGTCTCTACCACTTCTCGAAACATTTCTGGAACTCTTCTTTCCTGATGGAGTCCAGCGCGGCCTGCGATTCTGCTTGAATCTCCCCTACGCCTTTAAAACGCCGCCCCTTGAGTGCCATTTTTATTTTTGGGAAGAGAAAGAAGTCACAGAGGAAGGAGGGCTAGATCTGGGGAGTAGGGAGGGTGGGGGACGACCGCCATGTTATTTTTGGTCAGAAAACGATGATCGTTCAGGTCTTGAGTCAACAAGCCGGGCAGAACTTTCTCAGCCACACGCCTCATGTTCAAATTTTCTGTCAAAATGATTTAACACGACCCATAAAAAATTCCAACAGCACTGGATACTCTGACGACGATGTTCATGAACAGACTTCCTCACTTTTTCAATGCTGGCGTCTGCTTTTGACGTTGATAGACGAACAGAGCGTTCCGCCTCGGTTGACGTTCGTCCTGCTTTGAGTCGAGAAACCATTCAAAACTGTATGTCCGACCCACTGCTTCATTGCCAAATGATCGCTGAAGCATTTTATGAGTTTCACTAGCCGCTTTACCCAGCTTGAAAACAAGTTTAACACACGCACACACGCTGTTCTTTCTTTTAAAAATTCTACTGTTACACAAAAAATAGCAATGCACTGACAACACGACAAAAAATGCCCATCTACACTTAACAGAATGACAGGTCGCACTGAAACTCGCCACGCTATTTCATAAAGGAGTATGCAGAACAACCACTGTGAAAGAAAATTCCAAGAGCTTTCGTGATTTCTCACGAAAGCGCTTGAAATTTCACTATTTTGTCACACTGGTTGTTCTGCATATTGTGATATCACCTGTTTATTGTGATCTTATTGTTTCATAAAGGAGTGTACTATGATGCCGCCATTTTTCACCCAGGAAGAGTACGAAAATACCGACAGGAACTTTTGATTACACACGTAAACGCTATGAATAGTAATATAGCAACTATTATTAATGTTTATCTGAATATATTATATATTATATATATATATATTATTATAAAGATTATATATATTATTACTAAAGATAATATATAATAATAAACTTATTGATACTATATTAATATAAATAATATATAATATACATATATATATATTATGTATAGTAAAAGGACACAAGTGCAACTAATGTGACATTTATTGTGGCAACGTTTCGCTCTCCGGTGGTCTGGTGGCTAAAGCTCCCGCTTCACACACGGAGGGCCCGGGTTCGAGTCCCAGCGGGTGGAAATTCCGACACGTTTCCTTACACCTATTGTCCTGTTCACCTAGCAGCAAATAGGTACCTGGGTTAGTCGACTGGTGTGGGTCGCATCCTGGGGGACAAGATTAAGGACCCCAATGGAAATAAGTTAGACAGTCCTCGATGACGCACTGACTTTCTTGGGTTATCCTGGGTGGCTAACCCTCCGGGGTTAAAAATCCGAACGAAATCCTATCCTATCCTATATAATATATATATATATATATATATAATATATATATAATATATATATATATATATATATATATAATGTCGTGCCGAATATGTAAAACTGGTCAATTAGCAAGAACCCTTAAAATTAAGTTCTTTCAGAATTTTTTTCTTATACGTTTAAAGATATATTTTTTTCATTAATGTTAATTTAAAAATTTTTAATTTTGCACCAAAAGAATCTTAGAAAACTTACCTAACCTTATTATAACAAGAGCAATTTATTTTAGCTAACCCAACTAAATATATTTTAAATACGTTTACAATAATTTAGTACTAAACAAACACAATCAAATATATTTTTTTCGTTAGGTTCAGAATGATTTTGGCGAAATTATTGCATACACAAATTTTCACATGTTCTATATGGCAAGATGAGCGTTGCTATTTAAGCCAAGATGGCAAGTTCTGCCTATTCGGCACGACATATATATATAAATATAATATATATATATATATATATATATATATATATATATATATATATATATATATATATATATATATATATATATTATTGTAACCACGAAGGAGTGGTATTAATCAATAACAATACTGCACTAGCCAAGGACTAGAATCCAATTGTACTGGCCCGCCTCATGGAGAGCTAGAACCACATGACGCCTTAGCCCACAGGACCACCCAATCAGTTTGGGTGAGTTAAGGGACAAGAGCTCGAGGATTTTCGGTATAAGCCATCATCAAATGCCAGTCATTCCATGAACTGGATAGGCTTAAACTAGAAATTCAAAGAATTAGAAGAAACCAGATGCCAGATATTCATTCAAAATATACCGGTATCTTTCAAATGAATATCTGGCATCTGTTGTTTTCTCTAATGCTTTGAATCCGTGGCTAAGCCCCACCCATTTCACTGAATGACCTGGAATGTGATGAAGGCTTCTCGAAGCATCTGGGGAATTGTACTTACTCTGAGAATTGACTCTGACGTCCTTGGAAGCAAGGAAGGAATGGGGAGATATGATCACTGCGTGTAAAATTACGAGGTAAGAGACAGGCTGCTCGAGAGGAAAGTACCAGGTACAAGGGGGTACCAATGGAAGCTAAAGAAGCAGAAGAGTCACAGGAAAGTTAGAAAATATTTCCTTAGTCTCAAGGTGATTGAAAAGTGGAACGAGCTAGACGAGGTGAATAGGGACTCCTTTATTTACAGCTTTTAAATTAAGTATATCAAAACCCGGTCGGTGAGGCTAACCAAGAATTAGGGGTCAGCAGTGTTTCGACCTCCACAAACACATGTTCGTGAACCCTACCAGCTACAGAAACCATCCTCAGTAGCTCTGGAAAAGTGTGATACAAAGAAGACCACCTGCAGACCGTATCACCAGCAGCTCTGGAGAAGTATGACATAAACAAGACCACCTACAGACGGTATCTACAGTGGCTCTGAAGAAGTGTGATACATACAAAACCACCTGCAGATCGTATTCCAGTAGTTATGGTAATTCTTCTTGTGGTAAAAATAAAAAAAATATAACACACAAGACTATACATAACAATTAGCCACATACGAAACAAGCAGTCATAAAATACCTAATCATAGTTCGGCTCACTTCGATAAGGTGAATGTTGCACCGAGTACATATGTTATTTACACACTGAACATTAGAAGACTACTGACCCATGCTAGGTGAAGCTAGGTAAAGAAAATGGTAAGAGGTGAAAAAGTCACTGAAAAAAAAAATAGTTTTGGCTAAGAAAAAATCATAAGAAAAAAGTTACGAACTGCTTGTCAATGGATCTAGCCTAACTTAACACAATCTAAAGTAACCTAACGCAATTTAATGTAACTTAACTTAAACCAGCCTAGCCTAAGTTCATCAAATCTGTCCAATATCTTGTTTTCCCTCTGACTTTTTACCTGTCACCGGCGAGGCAGCTCGTACTCACACAACTATTCACAAAATGTCTCTGTCTAACCGATTTTTGAAGCTTCCCAAAGCACTCCACTTTTTTTGTTCCACCCATCCGCAACGCTAGTGCCAAATCAGTGCTTTCCTATATCTTTTCTAAATCTAAATTTATCAACTTTAATCTATAACTGCGAGAACTCACAAATATTCGGCCTAATGTTAAACCATAATATTGCAGCAGTTGAGGCGAACCCTTCAGGTAAGGTGGCATTTGCAATTGCGATCAGTGCCAAGCAGCCTTGGCGTCAGGATAATTGCAGTCTGAGTATCTCCCCGCAGCCAAGGAGATACAGTAATTCTGGTTCATGCCCATCCTCAGCAGCAAGTAATTACAGTAACTACAGCAATCGTAACAGCTCTGGTCCAACCACAAGCTGTTACATGTGGACGGCACAGTCATGCTCACAAAGCTTGTTGCTCTCCATGCAACAGGAACAAGAACAGTCCATTTAACGCTGTAGTCAAGCACTAGTTTAACAAAAGATGAGTGGAACAAACTGCCCAGTGTTGTCACTGACAGTTGTAAAAATAGGACATAAATATATGGGAGGAATAACAGAGTTTGAGTAAGACTTACCCAACGAGGGTCATCTATTCTTATGCAATCATTCTTAAAGCAATAACTCACTACAAATATCACAAAATGAACGGATATCGAACAAGTGATTGTTGTATCCTACTGCAGATGAACCATTTGTTATCTTCCGATAGTAGGTTGGTAGACAGCAACTATCTAGGGAGGTACTACACTCCTCTCATGTGTGTGTGACCTTAGGGTACGTTGGTAGACAACAACCATCCAGGGGAAGTGGATACTAATCTCCTGTCATATGAGTGTGACCCCAGGGCTGGTTGGTAGAGAGGAAATCATCCAGGGAAGGCATTAGCCTCCCGTCATATATGTGAGTAGTGAGTTGACCTGTGTCAGCAGTGAGTTAACCCGTGCTCTGCGAAGACGTTCTTAATGGATTCTCA